CCCACCGCGGACCGCAGGAGGAAGCGATCCGTCCACCCAGACCCCGGGTGGCCGCGTCCAGCCGCATGCACCGGTCGGTGGGGTGGAGAGGCTGTGAGAGGGGCGAAGCCGTCCCACTAGGGTGTCTGTGACTCGGACACCTGGAGCCCACGAGTGAAGCCAGGGCCACCGTCACGTAATCACGCACGTTCTCATGCAAGCCAGCCCACTCCCACCCCAAGCCACTTCTGTCCTTGGACTGGACAAGACGGAGCTGCTTTAGGAAGAAGGGTTAAGAAGAAACCCAAGCTGGGTGGTGTCATCTTACCAACGAAGTAAATGTTTTGTTTTGTTTTTTAAAGAAAAAAGCATCAGCCAGCTGTTTCAGAAACGTGGGTTATGACCTTCAAACGCTTCCCCAATAACAAATTTTGATTTGTAAACTTTAAAAAATTGTTGTCAATTTCTCTGGTGGAAGTCAGAGCTCCTCTGAAGGTGAAGAGGGCGCCAGGCCTGGCAGGAGGGTCCAGGGTCGCTGGGCTGTGACCCCCAGGGCCTGGTGACAAAGGCACTGCTACTCCTCCCCGTGGCCACCCCTTCAGACAGCTGCCTTGCTGCCTACTGGAAACCCACGTAAAAGGATTTATCACATCTGAGTATCATACATCACGTCATGGCAAAGTAAACTATCAAAAAAAAAAACACCCTCAAATTTTTAAAATTAGATACAGGCATTTGTAGAAGCAACTAACAACTAGAAGTGTCAACATCCAGCGAAGGGCTCCAGAGACAGAAGTAACTGCACAATAACCCCACTCATCCCCCCTAAATGGTGTTCTATTCATGTAGGAAAAGCTCTCACTCCTCCCGCGGACCTGAGCCCTGTATGCCCCAGGCTCTAGGCTCCATTTCTCAGACTCTAATTCCTAAATCCTGAGCGTGGCTAAGATTTGATGCGCATCATCTCATGGTAGCCACAGGAAATCCTGAAAATGGACTCCAGATATCTTCCCCTGACCAAAAGCAAAGTGAGTCGCGAAGGAAAGGGACTCGTGCAAGGCAACGGCCCTAATGACTGGGCCAGCCAGGAGCTGGGGGGCTGGGGGCGAGCCCAGCACAGGAGGGTCCAGGGCCCGGGGGCTCCCAGAGCCATCAGAGCCCCGGAGATGGAAGGAGCAAGTCCCCCACGGGAGACAGATTCCCAGCCACCATTCTCGTGGGCCATCCGAGAGCGGAGAGGCAGTGTCGCGGCCACACGGGAAAACAGGAGAAATCGGGTACCCTTGGAGCACCTCGGCCGGCAATTTCCGCCTTTCTGGGAGGTTTGCGGCCAGCATCTTGGGTGTATGTCGGTGTAGTACCTCATCACAGGCTGTGCGGAAGCCTCCATGCTCCCGAGAACTCAAGTGAAACCCGAGGAGCACCGAGCAGGCCGGCGTCCTTCCCTGGGGCAGCGTGGCTCCCTGGCAGGCCGGGCAGGCGGGACGCGGAGGAGCCTCAGGCTGTCACCCGGCCTCAGCACACCTCTGCCTGCCAGGCTGTGCCCAGGCGTGGGCTCCAGGCCGTGCACTGCATCTCACTGTCTGCAACCATTTCTCACCGCTTCTAGGGAGGGAAGGTCTCTGCCTCGTCCACACCATCTGGTTTCTGTGGTTTCTCTGCCCCAGGCAGTGGCAGTTAAGTCACCCCCAGCTCACCACCCGGGCACCCACCTCCCGCTCTGCTGTGGGCCTCCCGCCACACCAGGGATCGCCGCCTCTGCCGGTTTCAGCTAAAGAATTCACAGGTGATAACTGACTGCTGAGCGGACACTGTCAGCAGAAGTTTACAATAAAATGAAAACCCAAAAAGCCCCAGAAGTAGCAATTTTTGAAAATTTAATTAGAAAGACAATCAAACTATGCTCTTTCAAACAGTGCATGTCATAACCTGGCAACGTGGGACATCCTCTGTGAATCCTCGCTCTGGGATGCTGGGCAGGACACCCACACCCCATGGGAACTCAGCGCGCCCCCCGCGGACCTGCCCTGTCTTTTCCAACCCTCATCACAACTTCTGCCCCCTTCGCCCCCACAGACTTTATTCACCACCAGGCCTAGCCTAGCACTCTTGTGCCTTCAGAAGCTGACTGAGGGTGCCAGATACCTGAGAAAGTTAGGGGGCCAGCGAGCAATTCTCGCAAACCATCTGGCTGGGGATGGCTGGGAGTTCACGGGAAATCACAACAAGCTCACCGGGACCGAATCTCACCCTTTTAACTGAACTTTGACAGAGAGGCTTACATCAAGATGAGAGCGTCTGACAAAGGAACGGCACCGTGTGTGTGTTGTGTGTGTATAACCATAATGTTCCACTGGAGAAATGCTGCCCTCTCTGAAGACGTGAGGAAAAACTTAAGAAACTGAAAGTAGAAAACTCCTTGTTTTCAGTGTTAGGGTGTCATTTTTAGAAAAAGTTATGATGCAAGAACACCCTGGCTCTTTACCACTTATCGCGAGTAGCAGTGACATATAATGCTGAAGACGTCAAACACAGAAAGCACTGACCCCCTACGGCAGCAAACTCCATACGTGAAAGTTCCCTGTCCAGTGTGAAAGCCCAGCTGGCACTCACGGGATGGCCCCTTGCGGGTACATTGCTGTTAGGTGTTGAAAAGAAGAATAAACTATCTTCCTGGGGTTTCTTCTCCGTTCTCTAGACTAAAACATTGCTTGATGTATATTTCCATCCTAGGAAGGAAAAAAGACTACCACAGTCAGGAAAAAGAGAACTCCTGCGCTCTCTCCGATACCAAAAGCCTTCTAAGGTCAGGCAGAAGGAAGCTGAAGGTAGATTTCAAGAAATCTAAACATAAGTCTCAGTGAGCCAAAGTCGTCCAAAGTCTCTGTCCCCTCAGTCATCTTACATTTGCAAACTTGCTTCGTATATGACATTAAGGCCAAGTCACATTTCTGGAATAAACCACTAGGTCTGTTACAGTCACCACCGCAAAACCAGACAGAAAAATGAGCAGTGAACCTATGTTCTGAGGGCATGCGAGAGCAGACCAGTAAAAAGGAAACTGGGGAACCAACTTAGAGCTCAGTGCGGGCTCAGCTTCACGTGCGATTTCTGTATTTTCTTGTAAGAGTGTGACAATCAGCTTAACACATAAGCTGGGAAAGGAGAAGAGTGGCAAGGATTTGGAGGCCTTATATAATTACTGCAGTTTTAATGAATCTTTTTACATGTAGCTTGAATCATTAAATAAAATTAACTTTTTTTAGTCCATATCACAAATATGCCACTCAGCTAATTCTCAGACCCTAAGAAAAAAACTAAAAGGTTTTCTATCGTTCCATGTGGTAAGTCCAACTTTACCAAACTGAATTTCACAGAGTCACATTTACGTTTCTTACCTTCTGAAAGCCGCCTTCATCAATACGCAGGTCAACTTACAAAGAGAAGACTTCAGGTAGAACCCGACTCAGAGCGGCAGGAATTCTAGGTGTGCACATGAAGTTCCCTGATACATTCCAGGGTGGAGGGAGGGAGCGGCAGATCCCCACGTCACCGCCCCCAGGCCAGGAGGTCAAAGCCCACCACCACCACCAACTAAAATGTTAGCACTCTGAGTCTGAGAGAAACTGTGCAAATATAGTCATTACTTAGATAAAGAATCAATTTTAAAAATCAAATCATCTGTTAAACCTCCAATTTTTACTTTCAGAGATATTTGAAGCCTATGCTGATGTAACTCAAATACTGTCCTTCTTACACGTTTGACTCGATTTATACTCAGCATACCTACCAACCTGGACCAGGTTAATTGCATAGGAAGGTTTTACTATGTTTACATTTTTCTTAAATTAATTTTTAAAAAGCATAGTAAAGAGTCTGAGGACAAATTATTCAACTGTTTATCATACATAAGACCGCATGACTATAATACAAAGGGGGTTTCTTTTTTCATTTAACGTTACAATATACACAGCAAGTCCGGACTAGATCTTACAATCTGAACACAGGTATTTAACCTTTTCCATGCTGTTTATGTTTACAATGCACAGAAGTCCTGTAACCAAACTGTGTAGTAAAGCACACAAAACTGGACTGTAACATAACACAGTATGCAGAAGCACTGGATTTTATGGTTTTCTTTATGTAAATATCGGTTTAAAAACTGCTTTAGTTTTTTGTTTTTTTTTTGTTTGTTTGTTTGTTTTTTTTGGTGCTTGCTAAGATGTGGCAACCAGCACATAAAAAAAATGACCTGACCCATATAGTGTCTTAACCTCATGTTCCATATTCCTAAACAGCAGTAACTACGGAATCCCTTCTGATGCTGCTATGCTCGAGATGATACCCTTTTGTTCACTGTAAACCTTTATGAACTACCAAGTTCAAAAAAAATTATCCACAGGCTTGACATTTAATTACAAAATAAATATGGATCTCCTGATTAACAACAAAAATGTTGTGGTTTATAAAAACGGTTATTTCCAAGTTTCCATTCACATTTACACAGTCTTAAGCCTTCCTTTCATCACTGTTTACATATAAAAACCTGCTTTTGTTCAGAAAAAATTGACCTAGCCAGCCACATGGAGTTGACCAATGAAAAGTAACATGGTGTCCTGCTGTTGTTTCGAACAGGGTTTTTTCGGCAGAGGTAGATTACTGCTTCTTTTCTAGGCTTCTTTTGATCCCGGACAGGTAAATTATGCTATTTTCAGTCTCCCAATTCAACCGCTTGAAAGTATAACACCCTAAAATTGATCAATTTAAGGGGGGAATACAAATTTAGCAACTGCCAGACTGTGTTATATTAAGGCAGCATAATCTCAAAACGAGGCACCCGCTAAACACACCAGCCTGCTTGCTTCAGGCCACACTCAGAACTCTGCTGACTCCTGCCCCTGGTGAGGACCTGGCGGTGCAATCAAGGTATCAAGGTCTTGCGTTCAAGTTTACAAGTAGGTTAATCAGGAAAACAAGAATCAAATGCTGGCTCCAGAGCTTCTGGATCCAGCATCCCTTTCCCTTCAGAAGCCTGAACACACTGAGACTGTGACAGATGTTGTAACCTGGAGTTAGATGTCAAACTATTATGTTCAGTACACAGACTGCTGTAAATGTATCGGCTATGGGTTCAACAACAGTTCCAGTTTTGTTTAAGCAATAGTACAGCCATAATTTTCAACTGACATTTAAAAATGGTCTAGTTACACCTTGTGTCAAAGTGCAGAACTGCTACATTATTGGTTACAGACATCTATGTGCTATAAAAACAGCTTTGGTACAATAAATTATCAAAAAAGAAAATAAATTTTTGTAAAATTCACAGCATAATTGTGAGGCAAAAAAGCAGTCACATAAAATTCTGCATTTTTTAAAAATGTTCAGGATGAACAGAAGACATCTTTGTGCAGAAGAAATGGTGGAGATACCACGTGCCGAGAAAAAAAGCAAAAGAAAAAGTAAAAAGCAGGAAGGGACACAGCTGTAGCTATTTCCATCAAAGCAAACCACTACTTCTGTGACCTTCAACCAATAAGAAGTCAGCTTTATGACACACGCAACGTGACCTTGCAATACCTTACAATTAGTGGGTCACAAAAGTCTGTTTTAAAAGAAAGGCCTCTTGAATTACCCATTCTGTGTTTTCAGCATTAAGGACTGTCTGCAAAAGCATGTCCACCAAGTGAGTGCATCTGAAACGGTGGGCTCTTCTCATTCCGAGTCCGAATCCATAAGGCCAAAGGTTATCCCAAGACCACCACTCAGCCCTCCCCAGGACTGGCCACGACTGACCCGCTGACCGCTTCTCAGTGCGCCTCGTTGAGGAGACCAGTCACGCGCCGTCCTCTCCTCCTGCGGCCTCGCCAGCAGGACTCCCGCAGGACCCTGTGTCATGGCTGCTGTGCTCCTCAGTGGGTTCAGACAGGAGCATCCTGATCCCCGCCACTCAGCATGCTCACTGAGCCTTACGAATGCCGACACAGCCGTCCCTTCCACACAGCTGAAGATGGTGTCTGTGGACGCCGGAGGTCCCTCTTCCTTACAGTACTGCATTTCCGTGCCCAAGCGTGTTTAGAGGACTTAAAAAACCCAAATTTCCCCCCTCACCCAAAACAAAACAAACAAAAAGGGGAGGCAGAAAGGAGGGGAAAAAAAAAGAAAAAGGAAAAACCACCCTCATGGGGCCCTTTATGCAAACTGTGTGCAGTGCCTTTTTATTTTTAAAATTAGTTGGCAAATGACCAAGACCAACATCTCAACATTAACTTGTGTTGAATAGAAAGACAAAAAGCCCACTATGACTGGGAGGTGGCAAGTTAAATGGGGAGGCAAAAAGAGGATACCTCTGAGCTATCCATGAAGATGAGTTTGGACATGGCTCTTAAAAACTTCATTGTCCCTTTGCAATCTTTTCAAGTTAAAAAAAAAAAAACAAAACAAAACAACTTTGCCCTCTTGTAGCGGTTCAGTATGTTAATCTCCTTCTGATTCAAGCAGCTTTGCACTTTGTTTTTGGAAAAAAAACACCACTTCTATAAAAACACACAAGAAACAAACTCAAGTTTCAATGTAGTCACGAGCTAGCTACAGGACTCTGCTGCACACAAACTCCCGTCATGGGGGACTCTTCTCGATCAGCCCCTTGCCTCATCGTCAGATGCCCTTCAGTCATGTAATGTGCAGGACCTGTATTAGCAGAAAACTGGTACGTTGGATGTCCAGCTATGCCAGTCTCTTGGCGGGCATTGGAGTAGACGGTCAAGTTAACGTCCATAGCTCCATTCTGTCCAAAGTCCAAGGGGTTAGCAGCCACTGGGCGGTTCTGGTAGGCCTGATTGCCTTGATTACCAGTAGAGGAGGAAGATGTCGAGGAAGAAGTCGTTGAGGAAGACAGAGATGTCATGGAGTGGTGACTGTGGCCAACCTCCATAGAATCCTGGGTAGAGGAGCTATTTGTTGGAGAATTGTAGACCCTTGGCCTGGTCCGGTTACCCAAGGCTTGCTGTCCATGGTGGTGGTGGTGGTGGTGGTGGTGGTGGTGGTGATGGGAACTGTTTCCATGGTGATGGTGCAATGCGTTCTGCTGAGGGGCTACGTGAAAGGTTGTTTCTTGAACAGGATGATTTTCAACAGTGACTTGTGTAGGAGCTTCAGTGCCTGACCAGCCAAGAGGAGCTGGGAACTGCTGACGCACCTGTAAGAACATTTCGAAAAGATAAGAGTACTGTTTTTAAGCTTTCATTATCAATTCAAAGCTACAACATACGCATTTATGTCAATCACGGAGAAAGGGTTAATGAAACTTTTAATGTATTAGGCAGTTCTAAAATACAAAATTCAAATTATGTTCCAGAGTGAAAAGTAGTTTACCATGAAAGTGGCAATTTTCTGGAAGTTATATCCATACACAGGGTCATATATTTCACCAGCCATGTATTTGCTTGGGAGCACTATCTATGCCAGCCAGGGTTTGAAAAAAATTTTTTATATATAAAGGACAAAATAGTACTTTGGGTAGGTCCCAGAGAAATTATTCACAATCCACCCTCTCTCCATTTTTGGGGGGGGGTGGGGGGTTTGGGGATCGAACTCAGTGCCTCGCACTTGCGAGGCAGAAGGCAGCACCACTGAATCTCCATCTTTCTTGTTCCAACCGAAGATTATTTCCCATCCAGTTGCTCAACAATGACCCCTTCCAGCTGGTCAGCTTGGCACGAGTCCACTTCAGAGCAGACGCGCTCTGCCCTGTCCGGCCCATCTCCACACTAGCACACTTGCTTCAACGAGTTCAGTGGCTTCCAAAATGAACTCCTGGTCACCATTCTTGCCCTTCTCCAACCCACTCTCCAAAGAGGAGCAGGAATAAATCCAATCACTTCGGTTTCAAACCCTTACTGATGTCTCACTGTATTTAAGAAAACAAAATAATCCAAAACCCATACAATGTCTGCATAATCTGGCCAATACCTGTTTCTCCAACCTTTCTTCAGCCACCTGGGTTCAAACCACAAAGGTCTTCATCCCCCCACCTGGCCAACATCTGTCAAATGTCTCAGGGCAACTGTTCCTTTCTGCCTGGAATGATCTCACTTCTAAGCCTCCGCTGGACGCTCCTCCTTAACTGTTCAGTCCCAGCGTGTGGCCTACGCACTCTAGCAAACAGTGCCCTGCCCTTCTGTGGCTAAGGATACTCGCTGTCCACAAAGCACAGACTCTGCTGGTTTCCGGGCACTCTGTGGTGGTACTGTGCTCCCCAGTCCCCTGGAGGCACGGCCACATGACCAGCATGTCACTGAAGGCCTGGCACACACAAAAGCTCCCAACACCTGTCTACATCAGCCTGCACAGTGGACAACCAGTCCTAGGGTGCGACACACCACAGATGGCGGGAGATCGGGACACAGGTGGCAGCCATGCCAGTAACATAACACACACTCTGGGCAGTTACATGAAACAGTGAAGAAAACACTTTGTACCATATTTTGCAGCTTTATCTGTTGCTAGTGTTCAGCTGGATTTAATTAATACAACTCTTCAACAAACCAGTCCTTCTCCTTGACACTCCTTTGCTATTTTCTTTTTCTTTCTTATAGTGCTAGTTAGTTAAGTGGAATACCTCTGAGGTAATCCAGCCCTGACTTTATAACTAATGATATTTGTAATGTTTACTCATGTTCTGCTGTTTGTTTTAACCTAAGTCCCTGTAGGCTCTGGGAAGCAAAAGACTGTGCGCCTATCAGGGGCTAGCATAAATGCTGCTAGCATAAACGCTGTGGGCCAGCACTGACCATCTCAGTTGGGAGGGGATGAGACTCTTACTCTCAGAGTCATGGGTTCGAGCCCCACATTGGGCACCAATTTGCTGAGACACCATGAGATTAATACAAGTTACCTGTGGCCTCTACACTTACAAGAGGTGCTCAAAGTGGTAGACATTTGCTTCCAGACATTTATACTCTGGTAAACTGCTGAAATGTGTACATGATTTTTGGCGGACTTTGTATATATACATCTCATCTTCCTGACTGGTAAAGGACTGGTTCCAGGACCACTGTGAATACCGATACCCACAAATGCTCAACTCCCGTATGCAAAGCAGCATGATGTTTGCATATAACCTGTACGTGTCCTGCCAGCCACTTCAGATCAACTGTAATTACTGTAGAAGAATAAAGACGAGAAAAAGTATGGGTATGTTCAGCACGGATGCATTTTTTTCCCAAATATTTTTGATCTTCAGTTGGCTGAACCCATGGAGTAAAACTGCAGATTTGGAGCAATGACTGTCCTGTTTTATCCCTCATGTGCATACCTGCGGTCATGTGCATACCTGCGGTAAAGTTTAATTTATAAATGACGCACAGTAAGAGGTTAACAGAACAACTAACAGTAAAGTGATGTTAGTGTGGTCTCTCTCCCACCATCTTAATCGTGCCTTCACTTTTCCACTTCAAGGAAACGCTTCACAGCAGATCCTTGGCCAATGTCCACTGCTGGCATCACTAAGATTGGGCTTTCAGACCATTTTTAAGTAAAATAAAGGAACACACAGTACATTATCATGACAGTTGATCTGATAACTGAGCTGGTTACTAAGCAAATAATGGGCAAGTCACGTAGAAAGCTGAACAAAGGGATGATTTACACCCAGAGCAGGACTAGGCAGAATAAGATAGTGCAGGGTGAGATTTCACCATACTCTGCAGAAGTGTGTACTATTCAAAACTTACAATTATTTCTGGGATTTTCCTCTTAGTATTTTCAGACCATAGTTGACTACAAATAACCAAAACTATGAAAAGTAAAACCACTGGAAAGAGAAGATGACTATAAAGGGTTTGGATTTGTGCTTTTTTTTTTTTTTTTTTGCAGTCCTGGCAATGCAACTCAGGACCTGGTACATGCTAGGCAAGCACTCTACTGGGGAGCCACACACTATCCCCGTAATAAGCTTTTCCTCAGTTGTCTGAGACAGGGTCTTGCTTTGCAGTACAGGGGGGCCTTGAATGTACTATGTAGCCAAGGCTGGCCTCGAAATCTTAGCAATCCGCCTGCCTCAGACTCTCGAGTGCTGGGATTACAAGTGTGCACCACAATGCTCTGCTTCTGTAATGGTTTTAAACACATTCCCACCAGCTTGACCCACCCGATGGGACAGTCACACATGTGCGGCCCTGTCAGGAATGTATTAAACAATGAAGCTTCTCCAATAAAAGGGGTTGATTTGTTCTTTTTTTTTTTTTTTTTTGCAGTCCTGGCAATGCAACTCAGGACCTGGTACATGCTAGGCAAGCACTCTACTGGGGAGCCACACACTATCCCCGTAATAAGCTTTTCCTCAGTTGTCTGAGACAGGGTCTTGCTTTGCAGTACAGGGGGGCCTTGAATGTACTATGTAGCCAAGGCTGGCCTCGAAATCTTAGCAATCCGCCTGCCTCAGACTCTCGAGTGCTGGGATTACAAGTGTGCACCACAATGCTCTGCTTCTGTAATGGTTTTAAACACATTCCCACCAGCTTGACCCACCCGATGGGACAGTCACACATGTGCGGCCCTGTCAGGAATGTATTAAACAATGAAGCTTCTCCAATTATTGGACTAGGAAACAATGAAGACCAATTTGGTGATACTTATCAAAATTCAAAGTCACCTTACTTTTTGACTCAGCAATTTTGCTTTCAACAACTTTCAGGAATCTTTATCAGACACGTGTGTCAATGATTAATGTGCACTGTTATTTACTATACCAACATCAGTAACAGTAAAGACAACAGCAAATATACCGAACGCCAATGAGCAGGACGCGGTAGTTCGTGCCTGAGCTGGGCAGGCTGAAGCAAAAGGATCTAAGTTCATGGCTAGGCTGGAGAGCTTAGTGCTATCCTGTCTCAAAATGTAAAGAACGGATGGAACTGTAGCTGGGCGAGAGAGTGCTTGTCTAGCATGCAGAAGGCCCTAGGTTCAATCCCAGTACTGCAAAAATTAAAGGGTCTGGAAGGAGACAACTATTGAGATGACTTAGGAATACTGTGAAACTGTACAAAAACAAAACAGCTGAGTACTGATACAGGAAAAGATTCAAACTATACGCTGAAGATGTAGAAAACCTAAGACGTAGAAGTATGTATGGTATGATACTATTTGTGCAGTGTTTGTACACACATAAAAATATCTCAAAACAAGAATACAAAAAACCGAATAATATCAGTTTATTAGAAACTAGGTGGCTAAAGAACATGGGGTGTGTTTAACCATGTAACATTTTTTAAAAAATCAAATAATATGCCTGGAATGGTTGCTCACACTTGTTATCCAAGCTCCTTGGAAGGCTGAGGCAGGAGGATTTTAAGTTTGAGGTCAGCCTGGGAAACAGCAAGAACCATCTCCCTCTACCCCAGAATATAAATCTGTCAAATACAGGCAGGAGACACACAGGACACAGTTGTCATCTGTTATTCTGGGTCTGTGTGCAGTATTTAATATATTTGGAAGAGTAGACAGCAGGATATCCTGGACAATCTGAGATATCCTTTGGGTGCAGTGATTCTAATGTTTTGGTACTGGAAACTGAACCCAGGGCCTTCACACTGAGCTACATTTCTCACTACTTTGTATTTTGAGACAGGGTCTCACTAAGTTGCCCGGGCCAGGCTTGAACTTGTGAACCTCCTATCTTAGCCTCCCACAGTGCTGGGATGACAAGCATGTGCTACCATGTCCACAGGAAGTAGTGGCATTTAAGATCCAAGGTATCAACAGTAGTTACTAAGCAGAAGTGTGAGGAAATAGTATTCCAGTTACTAAGCAATGGGAGAAAGACAAGGGCTGTTTCTATTTTTAAAAATCAATATGAGCTGAGGATAAAGAAAGCCCTAGGTACAGCCAGATCATGAAAATCAGTACCATCTTGGTAAGAAATATAGATTTTACTTAGGTTCAAGGGGAAGTCAAACACTGGCTTGAAGTAGGGGAAATCACAAGATCAGACTATTTTAAAGTCAAGTTCATGTGGCTAGAGAGAAGAGCAGGGCGCTGGCCAGGGAACCGAACAGGACGCCGGAAGCCCAGTCATGACGCCGCTCCTGACACAGCCTAGCAATGGCTGCCTGATGGGGGCGGGTGGCCGAGTGTGGGAGAGAAGGGGGAGGAGCCAGGGATTAACAAATACCCCAGAGCCCACGTCTATGACTGACCGAACAGGTACATTCAGGGCATTTTTACAAAGAACATATAACAGTAGGAGAGTCAGGCTGGAGGTGAAAATGAGGACATCAGTTTATGTGACGCATGTGCGGGGCCATGTAGAGGGTTTAGTTAACACCATCCAAGTTCACATTCTAAGTTCAAAGTGATGTGTACAATAAACGACTCCAAACAAGGGCATGGGGCTCAGCGAGAAGTCAGCGTCAAGGCGGCCTGACACAGGGGTAGCATGGGTGGGACCGCCCAGGAAGTGTGCCCACTGAGAGGGAAGGACACGTGGACGGAGGCATGCTCAGGTCTCACAGTGGGCAGAGGAGAGGACCGAGGGCACAGGAGCACACACTGGCCCGGAAAGCAGAAGGTGGCTGTGCAGTAACAGGGGCTGTGGCTAGGCATGAAGGCAGACAAGCACGGGTGAAGAGCACCACGGACTCGGGCTGGGGAGCCAGATGGAGCAGGCAGCAGAGACGTGGGAGGAGGAGACAGGAAGCCAGAGAGGGTCTGAGGAATACAGGGCAGACCTGAGAAAGAGAAATCTGTTCAACAGCAAGGGCCGGGGGAGGACACAGGCTGACTCGGCTCCGATGACAAGGGGTGCAGGCGTGGACACCGGCACACATGGGCAGGACCATGCGCTCGTTTAATGGTATAACCTGGAGGAAGTCCCCCCCAGAGGGCTTTTCACAGAGCGAGAATGGACAGGAACAGAAAAGGATAGGCTAAAGGCTTCTGCAAAGAGTAGGAAAGTTTGCAACAATTACTGAAGCGCATGGAAGAAAGAGCGAGGGGATGAGCTGAGAAATATGGAAGACGGCCCCAGAGTGGCGGACAGGAAGTGCTGGTGGCAACAGCAGAGCTGTGTGAGGCCCTCCCTGCAGGACGGAAGGTGGACGAGGCGGTGACTGCAGCGTCCCGAGCAGGGAGCGCACGGCTCAGCCTCGCTTCCGGTCACACAGTACGCCTCTCACCAGAGGAGAGTGCGGCCCGTACTGGTTAGTTTACAAAAGTACTAAGTATTTCTACAACGACCATCCACCTCACCTCCACGGAAAAATAACTGAAATAGAGCCTCCTTTTACAGGTCTAAAACTAAAAGCAAAGCCAAACAAAAAACACGGAGGGGAAAAAAACCCCAAAAACCAAAAACAAGCAAGCCTCAAACGGGACTCTGGGCAATAAATGCCAGCCTGTTCTTTTCTTTTGAAACAGGGTGGCATTATGTTGCCTCGGCAAGTCTGAGGCCACCCTGGGCAACATAATTAGGCTCTGGCTCCAAAACGGAACAAAGAGATAGACGCAGCCCCCGCTCCAGACATTCCTGTGCCCGAGCACAGCAGCGCTGAGCTTTACGGTCCCGGCCCTCACCCTACAGTGGTCTGAGCGCCCCAGGTCAGTCACCCTGCCTTCCCGGTCTGCTAGGGCTCACAGTTTTGGTTTCTGAATCTGTCCACGGTTGGATCTTCAGCCTCTACGTTTTTCTTTTGTCCTGCCTCAGCCTCCCGAGTGCTGGGATTACAGGTGTGCGCTGCCACCGGCTTCAGTGTCAGCCATTTCTAAACAGGGATGGGAACTTACTTCTGTGATTAGAAAGAAGTTGTGCTTGCTCAAAAATCAGGACCTGTGAGCCTCAGATAAGGACACGCTCGCTCAAAGGCACCTGGCATCCAATCCCTAACCCACGCAGGGCGGTGCCACGGGCAGCACGCGGCTCACCTGGGGACTGTGTGTCTCACAGTCCATGGCCTGCACGGCGGCCGTGAAGTGCCCACCGCTGTGCCGATGCTGGTGCGTGGGGTCCGATCTGGCTCTCCCACTGTTGCTCGTCCCGGATGATCCACCTGGAACAGCACAGCTCAGTGTAATTTGGGAGTTTAGTTAACACCATCCAAGTTCATATTCCAAACCACACATTAAAAAGATCTCACCAAAAAAGAAAGAAAGAAAAACCTGTAATACTAACGTAAAGCGTACCACTGAGTCAGTACACGCGCTAAAGCCAAGTCACACTGGAGAAGAACACACTGAGCCCGCCCGCCCTGTGGCACAGACCTGAGCTGGACGACGTGCTGGAGGCGGTGCCCGAAGACTGGGACTGCTCCATCGCAGGGCTGGTAGAGACGCTGTTACTCGTGTTTGTGCCTTCATCGGCTGTTTTCTTGAAAAAACTGTGCTGCAGGGCATAATAAGGTTGAATCCGAGTTTTGGGGTCATAATCAAGCATCCTTAGAATGAGGTCTTTGAACTTCAAGTAGTCAGCTACTGTATGACCCGACTCCCCAGCACGCCGGCCGCCAGGTCCTCCTGTTTCTACTCCAAGAATATTATGAAGCTTACGGGTTCCTGGTGGTTTATATTCCTGTAAGGAAGGAAAGCAAAGGCGTTTTCTAAGTTTGATGAAATATATAAAAGTTTACACAATTTAACTTCAAATATGTCTAGATACGGTTGAGGCCTTCATCAGAAAGGGAATTTCGAAAATCTACATCACTTGCCTCTTCACACATTTCTATGTTGAAAATACCGCTGGTTACAAACACAAAATTGTGAGACCAAATATGACTTAAGAAGATCTAGGCCAAAGATCAGCAAAGCATGACTGTCTTTGTACAGCTCCAGCTAGATCTTTTGAAACTGTTTTTATTTTTAAAGCCAACAAAAAAGCAAGCACATGCAACACAGGTCTGCAAAGCTGAAAATGTTTCCCATGGGGTCCCCTGCAGAGGAAATGTGCCACCCCTGCTCTGCTCCTGGGCCTAAGATCCGCAGCACGGCCTCCCTGCGTGTGGTTCCACACTGCCGCGACCTTTACTCCAAGTGTGCTCTAAAGAAAGAGGTGCCCACAGAAGATAAAATTAGAAAGCAAATCATTTATGCCCCCTTTAGAAAATGTTTATCAATAAATTACTTTAACATGTGTTGGGATTTCCTGAAAACTCACTTATAACAGATAACGGTACAACCATTAAAATCTCTACAAGTATTGGATTCAATTAGCATAGCATCACTAGATGTCTGCTTTTGTTTACAATACAGAAATTGACATGACTGCTCACACTCCAAAGCAAGCAGCCTGCCAGACAAGTCACAGCACTACCGCTTTCCAAAAACTCAGAGAACTGTGGGGTCCAAAGGCCCCAGAATGAACCGACTTCCGGAAAGACAAGCCTCTACCAGCAGAGACCAACTGGAGCAGCCAGCAGGCCACAGACCAGGCTGGGAGAGCCCGGCCCTGACCTCGCTGCAGACAGGCAGGAGGGCGGGTACTGTCACAGCACTCCAGTCTCCCCCGGCCCCGACACACGTGCTGCTTCCAGGATCACCCTCAGAGAACGGTGCCCAGAATCTAGGTCAAACAGACAAAGCCAGAGTCAGCTAAAGCACAAATGAGACTGACTCCGCCCCACACTAGTGGCCTAACAGAGTGTGCGGATGACTGTTTCTGATAGAAAGATGATTTATGCCCAACTCAGCTATTCCTAAATACAGAAAGTTTGGTACACATTAAAAATTATACATACCAAAAAAACGAACAAATGAGACCACAATCATGTAAAAAAAAAAAAGTTAACAAAAGATCTACATTGATAAATGACTCAGATGCTGAAACTTGCAGGCAAATACTTTAACTAATAAATAGTTAAAAGAATTTAGGTTACAAGGAAAGTAACGTGTGACTAGACGGGGAATTTCAGAAGAAAAAATATTTTAATTAAGGACAAACGGAAATTCTAGAACTAAAAAGTATCAGAAGTAAAGAGGCCACTTAATGACTTTAAAGGCAAATTGCACTCAAAAAGGGGGGAAAATCAGTAATGTAGAAAATAAGGTAAAGATGGGCTGGGCATTTAGCTCAGTGGCACCACTCTTGGTGCAGGGTCCTGAGTTCAATCCCTGGTACCAAAAAAAAAAAAAAAAAAAAAAAACCCAAC